TGAGCTCTTGCAAATCATGGAAATTGTCCCTATGTTTGCGTTGCGTCCAAGCCTCCCATGCCCTTGCGCTGTTTACGTGCACCACAACTCTTTGCTGCAGATCAACGTAATGTGCAATCATTCTGAGGCCATAGAACCAGGCTCGCTCCCATGTTTGTCTCCCTGGAAGAATTGCAACCACCGCTCCCTGTCGGTAAAGCTGCCCTCCAAGCAAGGTGTGGTGTACCATGGCAACAGCAAAGTAACTGTAGCCTCTTGTCCGTGGAAGTTTTGGCAACTCCAATGGCCACCACATCAGGGTGAGTGATGCGAGCTTCATCTTGGTCGCCCAAGTGGCACCTGGACAAGTCCTTGAGCCCAGAACTCCAGGTTCAAACCACGGTTTAGCTCAAAGAGGTCTTCCTGAGCCAAAGCCAGGAAGGCCTTAGCTGTCTCCTTGCACAACCAGATCAGGTGGACTGCCGTGGCAGGTTGGCGGCTATGCGGGCATTGAAGATGTTGATCTGCGAGCTTTGTGAAAAGTGCTCCCTGGTGCCAAGTTTGCAGCGCTGTTGCATTCTGGCTGTTCAGGGCGCGCGCCATGCGCTTCCATGGCATCCAGTCTAATGGCTGTTGCGCTTCTTGGAGTTTTTGCCCATCTATTGATAAGAGTCTCAAGCTCCTGTGCTTCAGCCTGATCTTCAAAGATCAGATGTATAGGGAACTCTCTCCTCTTGCGCACCTGTTGCTTGTAATCCACATGGTAATGATGCGTGATGACACGCGCCGGCTTAGCAAGCTCCACCATCTCAAGGAGAAAATGCGCTGCATCATCTTGTACCTGGTCGTCAAGCCGGGCTCATAGAAATTGCAAGGTGCTCAAACTGGTGATCTGGACCGTGTCATTGTCCGCCAAGGCTGTTTGCACAGCAGAGGCAGCGTTGTTCCACCTGTTGACCTGAAAGGAAGCTCTTCCTGCCCAGGCCCAAAGACGAGAAGGCGAATTGGCATAGCAACAATTGCGCGGGTTGCCGAGTCGGCATTGCAGACCTTTGCACTGCTCACTCGTGTGATCATGTTGATCGTCTCTGCTTGAAACTGGAGTCATTGCTTCATCTTCAATTGCTCCAGCTCCTCCCGTCATCATCACCACATCTGAATCTGGCGATGGCCCCAAATGCTCTACAGTCGACTTGTCTCGCTGCCGACCTTCTGAGCCAAAACCTGCATATGACATATAGAGGCTCAATGCTTCCATCATTGTCCCCATGACGTGCACATATGATGGCCCCTGCGCTTGCTGCGTTCTTGCAGGGTTACCCGCACCTCCTTCTTTTTGACACGTTCTCGCCAAGCTTGTGCGCAAATTCCTTCATCCGCGCATCCGTGGCATGAAAATCCACACTGGCCATGATGACCATCAGGTTTTCTGGCGAGATCTCATCCGGGTCCACATAGACCTCATCCGTTGCCTGCTTGTCCTTCTCCAGCTGCTGGTTGTAGAGCGAAGTGGCTTTCTGCAGATCTTGTTGGGCAACCTCTATCTTGCCTTGAAGTTCTTTTAACTCCTGAAGCAAAGCTGTACACTGAGTTTTTACAGTATCTGCCTTGGCTTGTATGGCTGCCTTTTTGTTTGACAATTGCCTCAATGCTCCAACTGACATCTTGAGCTTGGATGCCAGAGTAGGTTCAGGCTTCGGTGGCTCGACTATCTTCTCCACAGCTCCTTTCAAGTCCGGTGGCAGGCTCTGCAAGCGCTCCTTGATTAAAGTCGGCAAATCCTGAGGAGCTGGTGAGGTGGTGCTTGTACTCCCAAGGCTTCACACTGTGTCTTCATGGCCTCAGGCAACTGGGCCCAGCGCTCCTGCACCGCCTTGCACAAGGCAGTTTGCTACCTTCTTGGCCTTTGCACAAGGCTTCCTTGTATGACTTGGTAGGCCATGAAGTACCTGTCTTGGGATAGTTCCAAGCTGCCCATGTCACTCTGCGTCGTGCTCGAAGGTCAGGAAGTTGCTGCTGCCATGCTACAGCGCAGTGATTGCAATTCAAATCCGGCTTATTCATGAGCCGGTCCTGCCAAATCCAGGTTTGGTGGCTGCGCTTGCACACTGCATCGCTTCATGCTCACCTTCCGGAAGTAGGTGAAGCCTCCCTTCTCTGTGTCCAGGGCGTTCTCGAAGTTCACGCGATGTGCCCAGGGCCCAGACGGAAGGAGCTGTGGTCTCGAGCCGAAACCTTGAGCCATATGCATGCGAAAATGCAAATGCCACCAGAATAGTTGTGAGTGCATACCTGTTGTGTCAGGATCAGGACCTCGACCTTGAAGGCCTTTGGCTTAGGTGAGGCCACCAGCGGTGGGTGGGACGTGGTTCTTGCCATTGGCCTTGTGTGGTGTGCCAGGGAACACACCGTTCGTTGCCAGGGGCAAAGTCCCTTCCTTTTCGCGCTGGCGTGGACGCTGGACTTCCGAGGTGGTGAAAAAATCAGGTGGGAATCACATTGGCAGCAGAGCTCTCAGTCCGCTCAGATGCTTGAAACAGGTCGCACATTTCTTGGTCGCATGGGTCGATTCATTGATCGTTGAAAGCGTTGAGCATTGAACATTGACCGCGTGATCGTGGAGTTGGGGGACGTTGCACCGTGAGCGTGCATGACAATGACCGGTGAAGGTGAAACAACCACAACACCAGGGAACCACTTGGGCAACCTTGTTCCAACTTCCGGGAGTTGATGACTTGCAAACTTATCAACAGAACGTCGAATTGTTGACATCCATTTGGCCGTCGGGCAAAATGTCCGAGTTGGTTGCACGCCTGATCTTGAACTCCAAAGGCAGTGCGTTTGCCAAGTTGCAGTTGCATCAAAAGGAGCTCCTGAACAATGATCCCAAGTCGGTCAACGCCTGGTAGAGTTGCTGGGTGGACATTGGGGAAAGGTGAAATTGGGGCGATCTTCAATTGCCCGCAGCGAATCAAACGATTCATACCTGGCCCGCGCTGACACCCATTTGGAGCAAGCTCCTGGCTTGGAATCCGACAGTGAGGGCCTGCAGGCATACGTCATGCTTCGAGGCTCGAATCTATCCCATCATGATGATCGCAAAAGGGTGGTTCTCGAAGTTGACAGTTCATTTGCTGGTTGGTTGTCAGCGCAGAGGGTTGGAGAAGCAGTGAGGACGTTGGGCGCCACCTTCTTTCAGGACCTGGCAGCGCGTAAGAAGACATCCTGAAAGGTGCGCGACGCCACTGCCAAGACGCTGACTGACCACGTCCCTGACGAGGACGAGGCAGGCGAAGACACCTACGTCGGCGAAGACATGACAGAAAAAGACTGCATGCAGGGCCTCACTTCCGGCGGAACAGATCGTTCAGTCTGACCACAAGTTGGCCAGCATACACGTTGCACATGGAGGCCAGGAAGAAACTAGTTGAGAAGTTTCGCAGCTTCTGGCCCCTTTCGAAAGGAAAACAAGGGCCAAGGAAAGTCTTCTTTTCGTGGCCGTCCTCACAAGAACTTGGGATCAAGAAAAGTCGGAAATCGTTGCAAGACCGGATCTTGGCGTCGAACTGCAGAGCGCATGGTGCAAAGGGTACTGGAAAGCAGAGTGCCCATATCGCTCCAATGCCAGTTTGTCTCAGCTCGGATCCACACCCAGCGCTGCACCAACACCCAAGACCGAAGCCATTGACGCAGAGACGCTCTAGAGCTTCTAGATCTGCCGGAACTGGACTCGCACACGTCACCGATCGATGAAGAGGACTGGTCAACTCATTTGTGTCTTGGTTGTCGGAAGATTCAGAAGGTGGCGAATAGCACCCTGGCAGCCGAGACCATGTCCTTGTCCACGGTGTTAGATCAGGTCCATGGCTCCAACTGTACTGGGACTGGCTGACCAAGCCAAACGGGCGCAGAAACTTTGAGAAGGGTTCCCCATACCATCACTGCCCCTACTTTAAAGGACGTGGCCACTACTGGCTGTAAATCGTTATTTGATCTCACAATTCGAACTGCTACCCCCAATTGCACTGAATTTAGGACACGGAGCTTCAGGCTAGGGCAATCAAGGACCTTCTCTCCGAAGGCATTCGATTACGTTGGGTAGCTAGTAGGGCACAGCTCGCAAACGCAGGAAGCTTCGTTCTTGAGAGAGACACTAAAGCGTGGCTCCTACCAAGTTTCCGACGAACAAGCCATCCTAAAGGCCAGAGCCACAGCACGTGACCGCTTCAATTATTTGAAGGAACGAAATGATCCTGATGAAACATCTCCACATGAATGAAGACCAAGTGCTATTCACCAATTTTGTTGTCTTTACAAGATGTACTGTACATAAATTTTTGGGAGTGTGAATGCACACCTGTTGTGTCAGGATCTCCACTTGCTTGCGTAGGACCTCGTCGACCTCGAAGGCCGTTTGGCTTAGGTGGGGCCAGACGTGGTTCTTGCCATTGGCCTTTGTGGTGAGGAAGCACACGTTCGTCGCCAGGGACAGGTTCCCTTCCTTTTCGTGCTGGCGTGGACGCTGGACTTCCGAGGTGGTGAAAAGATCCCGGCCGTTGGCAGCCGCTTAGGAGGAAGGAGAGAGACCCGGTACCAGGGTGATATACCAATCACGGTACATGTATATATGTATATATGCATATGCCACCAGATTATATAGTGGATTAAAAGGCACCCTGAAACGGTTCACCGCTATCGCCGTTCAAGGGCATCAATATTGAGAGTGTTCCATACCAGTAGGCCCGTCATCCCATATCTTGTCTGCAACAGTGTACGGGCGTATCCCCCGCATCCATTTTCTAGCGTGTGAGAACCTGCATACTGCGCAATCCGACCTGCTCATGCCTGGCAAACCTTCGACACATCTGGTGAGCCGCTGCCACTTGAATCTGGGGAGTCTGTGTATCTGCGAAACTCTTGAAATGGTTACATCTGTAAAGCCTATAGCCTATAGCAATTTCTCTTGTTATCTTTAGACATATATACATACATTATGCCAGCGCTGATTCCGAGCCCCGAGCACCAATAAGATCCATCAGCTCTAGGCACATCTGTGTGGCAGAGTTGTCTGACCTCGCAATTCCCACGAGATAGAACTTTGAAGTGTCATGGAACTCATCTAAGTGCAGAGGGTTTCATGTTGCCTGCAAACATGGAAACTGCCAAACTCAGGTTGCTGACAAAGCAGTTCCAAAGACCACACAGTGGGCCGGAGGTCTTTCATCTGCTTCCTGCAAAAGCAAGCCCGGAGTTTTGTGCAAGTTTGCAGTTTAAGATCTCAAAATTAACATGAATATATATATATATATGACTATGACATCGGCTGACACACTGGAAGCTCAGGTTCACACGGCCGCAGCATCTACCACCATCCTGCCAGCAGGATGATTTCCAAGAAGAAAGGGCGTGGGAATGTATCTATCCCGTGACCCCATGTCTGTGACACAGCAAGGATTCCATGTACCACTGCACTAGCCACATCTCAAATAAATGCTTTGTACTTTGTACGAAGTTCCTTTAAACTTGCAGAAATTTGGACGTTCTTTACTGTCGTTTTGCAACGAGCTTGGGATGTATCCACGTTTGCGTCGAGTCCCAGGATGTTTATTGTCAGCAACCAACAAACCAAGTTCGTCAGCGATCATGATCAAGGCCGTGGTGAGAGATCTTTTCGGACTAACAGCATCGAAAGGTGGAGACTTTCGAGCCAGCAAAATGGACACATGTTGTGGCATGTTGTGGCAAACCGTGCAAACTTGCATATTAAACTTTAGCACACCTGCAAAAGCATCCCACCCCCGGAAAACTGAAGTCGTATTTCTGTGGAGTCGTGGCCGGGGATTGGAGGCAGTTGTTTGCAGCGGTTTTACGTGAACTTGGCAACTGGAAGTCTTTTTCTGGTCATTAGTTAGACCTAGCTACGCTCAAGTGCCGGCTCTTATTGCCTCCACAGCCTCAAAGAAAGTTGTTGTTCCAAAGTCTCTTGATCTGTTTTTCCCGTTCAAGTGAAACTACGGTTTGATTTCGGTTGTTTTTCGACTGTTTCTTGTCGAATACATGCTGATAAGTTGTGAGGCGCTGCTTCAAGGTGCAGTGCACCTGTCGACATGCGAGGCCTTGGTGTGCCCCAGTAATTTCGGCCAGAGGCGACAATATCCAGCAAAGAGCCGGGGACCTCAGCTTCAAGCCAAGGCTGCGAGGCTTGACTAAATTATGAGGAAAAAGTTTAAAGTGAAGTCTTTGCTGTACAGAAGCGGAACCGCGGTTGGCAAGCTGAGGTCTCTGGCACGGCTGTGTCTAAGATGGCATGCTTGAGGCCCGGCGGGCGACAAAAGAATACCTCCAGCTGTCAAAACGCATTCTCATAGAACGTCTTTTCTATGAAAATGTCAATTATATATATATATACTTTCTATCTTGGGCATTATTTCTCAAATGCTCATGTATCTATCTCTCCAGTTTCAACACAAGTTCACCGTTTGGGACTGCACACAACTTTGAATCCTTTGTGTCGTCCGCCCACCTGAATTCTCGATACTCGGCCTGATAGGTGGCGCGAAATCTTGGGATCCTCTTGGGATCCACCGTTTTATGTCGACCACGGAAGCTTCCTTATACTCTCGAGAGACATGCAGCTAGGTCCACAGTGCCTCTTTGGTGTTGTCATCCTCAGCTCAGCCTGGATGCGGCAAATCTGCTATCCGCGGTGCAAAATTCCCTACATCTGAGTGCGGTCATTAGGACAGGGCATCGGGCTTGAGTTTTCCTCTTCGGTTTCCAATGTTTGGTGAATTTCACTAACATAACATATCTGATTTTTCCAAGCAAAAGTATAGTCATCGACCTTCATGGCGAAGCAAAGCACAGCACACAATTTGTTTCACATGTTCAAATACCTCACATATGCAGCTGCTAGTTCCTTTCTCTTGGGCCTGTCATTTGAACCCTATAATCAGTTTTCGAGTGGGCATGACCCTTGATCCGGTGTCTGGAAGTCACTCCGCGGCATGGGTTGGGGCATCGGTTAGGCATCGGTCTATACACACTGGTGAAAAACATAAAATTTGAAAGTAGTAGTAGTGGAGGAGGTGGTGGTGGTAGTAGTAGTAGCAGCAGCAGTAGTAGTAGTAGTACTAGTAGTACCAGTAGTACTGGTGGTACTAGTAGTAGTAGTAGTAGTAGTAGCAGCAGCAGCAGCAGGAGTAGTAGTAGTAGCAGTAATAGCAGTAATAGTAGGAGTAGTAGTAGTGGTGGTGGTAGTAGTAGTAGCAGTAGTTGTTGTTGTTGTCGAGGTAGTAGGAGTAGGAGTAGGGTAAGAGTAGCAGTACCAGTGGCAGCAGCAGTAGCAGTAGTAGTAGCAGTAGTAGCAGTAGCAGTAGCAGTAGCAGCAGCAGCAGCAGCAGCAGAGCAGCAGCAGCAGCAGTAGCAGTAGCAGTAGCAGTAGTAGTAGCAGGAGTAGTAGTAGAAGAAGAAGAAGATGTAGTAGTAGTAGCAGGAGTAGTAGTAGTAGTCGTCGTCGTCGAAGTAGTAGTAGTAGTAGTAGCAGTAGCAGAAGCAGTAGCAGTAGTAGTGGCGGTGGTGGTGGTGGTAGTGGTAGTGGTAGTGGTGGTAGTGGTAGTGGTAGTGGTAGTGGTAGTGGTGGTAGTAATAGTAGTAGTAGTAGTAGTAGTAGTAGTAGCAGTAGCAGTAGCAGGAGTAGTAGTAGTAGCAGTAGTATGTACGTACGTATGTACGTATGTATGTATGATACAAAGGCATCAGACTTGGGTTTTCCTCATCGGTTTTCAGTGTATGCTCAATGTATGACCTACCGACATAAAGCTTTTGGTTCCGACCTTTTTGGACGGTGCTCAGTTGTTCCACTAAGCACGTCAAATCGTCCACTTGGTTTTGGACCGTCATCTGTCGCGCCCGCTCAATGTTTGCCTTCACAAGCTCCTCCAAACATTATTTGGGTGAGTCCGTGACAAGCTTCCAGGTTCATGTTTGTTTCCACATTGGAACTGACAAGTGTGTTTCCCCCCTCAGAAAGGCCAACAAAAGATCGAAGTCTCCAGTCCTCGTTCACCTTGTCACCACTCCGCCGACAGCAGCTCAGCACCTCCAGAACTCTTGCAATTCGTGCCTTTTGTGTGTTTCTGTATTCTTGCAAGCCTTACAAACAGACACTAACAAGAAAAGGAACCCGTACGTGAGACCTGCACTTGATGGCCTGCCCCTCCAAACCTGTACCAGTACATCAAACTGTTGCGCGCAAGGAACTGCCTGCGCGCGTGCACAAAAAGCCAAACCTCCATCCTGCCCTCCAAGATTCTCAGGTTGAAATTCCGATACGAGCAGGTTTGGAAAAGAACATACCAGCTCACTTCACGTAAGCAAAACAGTCATAAGAGTCATAACAACATGTCTGACTTGGAACCACTTCCTATCTCCCGCCTCACGCGCATGAGACAATCCATCTTCCAAATCACCGCGGGAGAAGTAGCCATTCGCCAAGGCAAAGTGGGCAGAACTGGGTCATGCTGCTAATAAAACTGCGTTCAACGCCAAGCATATAATTTCAGCGCCACAACTTCAGATGGATAGGCTTTGCCATGAGGTGCATCGAGTCAAAACGGGTCAACACAAGCACACATGATAAGTTTCGGGCTACGATCCAACAAAGTCGTCTGAGTCCTTGTAAATACCCAAGGCAGCCTGCACAGCTGCAGCTTCAAACAAGAGTCACAAGAGTCAAGCTCAAAACAGCACTCAGTGCAAGGAAGCATTGGCCATGCTGACATGCTCTTCTGCGTGATACACTCTTTCACGTGGACCTGCAAATAGCGCATACCTTCCGCGCTAGCTTGATTCTCAGCCAGCAAGGCTTGGCCCAGAACCTCGGCTTGATTTCCCAATGTTTAGAAAGTCTGGTGGGAGGGTGGAAGCAACAAAAAGTGCAAACTGATGCGTCTCGATCGAACAAAAGAATTCCCAGACAACTATATAAGGATGTTTCCGTATTCTAGCTCTAAATAAACTAAAAGTTCGCAAATGGTCTAGTTTAAATGTGTGCTGATACGAGTAGGTATGAACGAGTTGGGCGCGTTTGTACAAACAACTTGACAAACGGTTGCGCGAATAGTTTTAGCAAGAAGACGAACAAGACCATTTAGTGCACTCCACTTGCACACTTCTTGCTGGTAAATTACGCCAGCATCGACCCCAAACAGAAGCCGCGGTTTGATGTTTGTTGCCAATTTGGCTTGCAGCGTCCCATCCAAGTGAGCTACAAAACTGGTTTAAACGTCCAAGCAGAAAAAACATGGAGACAAGGGGGAGACAAATCAGAATCATCTCAGCCCAGCACCCAGAAAGGCCGCGGGAGACATGTGAAGGTAGACAAACGGGGGCAAAGAAGAATCATCTCAGTCCAGAAGAGCCATGGGCGCAAAAGTAGACCAAAGCGGAATCGTCCCTGCCCAGCATCCAGAAGAGCCACGCGAAACAAAGATACACAAGGGAAGACAGGGAGAGAAAGGAAGCATGGTTCTTCGTGGATAGCGTCCCCTAGTTGATCTTTGTCTCCCATGGCTCTTCTGGGTGGTGGCAGAGGCTAAGATGTTTATGCTCTGTGGAGACAAAGGAAGGTCGCAGCCCAGCATTCAGAAGAGCGCATGGGAGACAAAGGGGACACAAGGAGACACAAGGCCGTAAATCATCTTGGCCCAGGATCGCGCCTATACAATCAGAATTGAGAACCCCTCACAGAAAAATGTTGTTTGGTGCGTATCTTTAGACATCAGGCTGCTTTGTCCCGCAAAATTACAACATATTCGCGCACCTGCTCGCACATTGCTAGTCATACATATTTGCACGTACACACTAGAGATAAAAGTTTGTACGTTATGAGTGCACCACCGCCCAAAACGAGTGGATCACAAAAGGCGTTGAAGAAAAAACATCAGGATGCTGGTAAAACATAAATATATGATAGCGTTCCCCAGCCGTGCATGCTGGCGCCCAGAGGCGGCACCACAGGTACAAAAGTTTGCGTCCAAATTCCCTCCCAGTTGATATCCACAGCATGACTAGGAAATCAACCATCACGCCCCCTTTAATACATTAAACATAAACGCCAAGAGGCGCCTTGTGATTCCAAAGTTACCCACACACACATACAGTCACTCGCCACATATACCAACCCGCACACGCGCAAACCCCGACCGTGGTTGAAACCCTATTTTTCAGAACAGGAGACTGGTACGTTGGACTGAGTTGCTGCTGCTTCAAAGTACTGACAATTCGCCTATGTCAAAGGGGTGCGTAGAGATGGAAAGTGGTACGCAGATAAACTGAGCTGAGGGCTGAACTCCACTCCAACATTGGGACAACTCAACCAAACCCAAAAGATTACGCCAGCCAGATAGCAATATTTGCAAGCAGCACCATAGAAGCGGCGCATACACATTTGGCACCGACACCTTTTTGCAGCAAGGAAAATGCCTTCACTTGCAATAAGAACCGCAATAGACCCCGCTATCTGGGAAAATCCGCCGACCCCGGCCGACGCAAGGGGGAGCGCGCCAGGGAATAATGATAGATCCGCCAGAACTCAATCGTTTGGAGCAGAACTCAATGGGTTAAAGCCGTGGCGAAGGGGTGGTTTCAGATGCTTTTGGGAGGCTGGAAAGCTTTTGGCAGGCTGTTGGTGGAAGCTTTTTGGGAGGCTGGTTAGTGGTGGAAAATGCTAGCAAATTGTTTTTTTTTCTAGGGATCCAGAGCGTCCGTTAGACACCGAACGTCCGAATTGGGGCTCGTTTGGAGCAGAACTCAATGGGTTAAAGCCGTGGCGAAGGGGTGGTTTCAGATGCTTTTTGGGAGGCTGGTTAGTGGTGGAAAATGCTAGCAAATTGTCTTTTTTCTATAGGGATCCAGAGCGTCCGTTTGACACCGAACGTCCGAGGAATTGGGGCTCGTTTGGAGCAGAACTCAATGGGTTAAAGCCGTGGCGAAGGGGTGGTTTCAGATGCCTTTTGGGAGGCTGGTTAGTGGTGGAAAATGCTAGCAAATTGTCTTTTTTCTATTTTTTCTATAGGGATCCAGAGCGTCCGTTTGACACCGAACGTCCGAGGAATTGGGGCTCGTTTGGAGCAGAACTCAATGGGTTAAAGCCGTGGCGAAGGGGTGGTTTCATTTGGGAGGCTGGAAAGCTTTTGGCAGGCTGTTGGTGGAAGCTTTTTGGGGGCTCCTTTGGAGCAGAACTCAATGGGTTAAATCCGTGGCGAAGGGGTGATTTCAGATGCTTTTGGGAGGCTGGAAAGCTTGTGGCAGGCTGTTCGTGGAAGCTTTTTGGGAGGCTGGTTAGTGGTGGAAAATGCTAGGAAAGTGTCCGCCGACCCCGGCCGACGCAAGGGGGAGCGCGCCAGGGAATAATG